GAGAGAGAGAGAGAGAGAGAATCAATGGCGACTTCGAAGCTCCAGGCTATCTGGAACCACCCGGCTGGCCCTAAAACCAGTGAGTTCTACATTTAATTTTTCTGGACAAAAGGGTTCTTTTTATCATTAATTTTGAGTTGTTAGATCTATTTATGTATTAGTTTAGGTATATGCTCCTGTTATTGCACTACGAAATGGAAAATACGGATTTTAAAGGATGAAATTACTATTAGAATTGAAAGTTTGTTCAGAATCAGGAATTGGGAATAACTGTCGTTCTGTGTTTTTTTCATTGTATTTCGGTTCTGAAAACAGAAAAAGACCTAATTTTGGAAATCTTTTTGAATGTGAATCACGATTTTGGTAGTAAGAAGTTAGAGGGAAGATTAGAATGGAGGATGGAATTTCAAATAATTGGTCATAGATAACAAGGACAAATAAGTACTGAAAACCAATGCAAATTCAATAATGTGAATTCCTGTTGTGAAGTTTGACTTGGGCAGATGAGGTTGGAGACTAAGGATTCATTTATTTTCCTCCAAAACCAATTGCTGGGATATGGTTTGTTTATCTCTGCTGTTGACTTTTAAGAAGGATATAATAGATGGTTGTTTCTTACAATTTTACTACACAGAATCCCTTGTGTCTGTGAATGATAAGTGCCTCGCCGTACAAGAAGATCAGTGTATGCTGCTTGCTAGGTCTCTTAAACATCTCACTGTACATCTGACACGACCAAATATTGAGTTAGAGAACCTTTTAATAGTACAATTTGCTAAAAACTTACTTTTTCATTTTGTTATAGCTTTTTATTTTGAATAATAAAATGTTCGATACAAGTGTTGCTAGTTGTCAGTAGAAAATTTACATGCAAATAAACTCTTCTGTTATTGTAGTCCACTTTTGGGCACCAACTTTCAAGTGGGGCATCAGCATAGCCAATGTTGCAGACTTTGCTAAACCACCTGAGAAACTTTCATATCCCCAGCAAATAGGTATGTGTGATTTGATCAGTTTGTTTGTATGAACTTCCATTTAATCATGTATGTCTTATCATCTTTCTCTCTCTCACACCTATTCTGTCAGACATTTCATATTTTTCTTATATCCTTCATGTTATGTACAGCGGTTACAGCCACTGGAGTTATCTGGTCACGCTACAGCCTGGTAATCAATCCGGTGAGTTTGAATGTTGATAACATTTTCCTTCATTTCTTTTTCAATTTCTTTCTAACTTATACCCTTTCTTATTTGCTAAATCTCCTAGAAATTATTATCTAGACATTTCCTCATTTAGCCCCACTAGTCCTTCTGGATAGGTCTCTTTGAAGCACCTTTTGCCTGTCATCATATTTCATTTTGTCAAACTGCAAAACTTGCCAATTGAATATTGCACAGAGTGGAGCTGTGCAAACATGTGTTACCTGATGCATCTCTGAATATTTTTCATATTCTGGAAAATAGATTGTCCGTTGATGAAAATAGAAGCTAAGCCCTCTTTGAGATGTCTATTTAATACTTCATTCTGTTCTGCTACGAAAACAGTGTGTATATCAGTAACTATTTAGAAATTTGAGGTGCTTCATTTCCATTGATTCTCCTCACTGTCGAGCTCATTTCGTGATATAGTTTTTTTCCTTTATATTCTCATTATAGATTATCCTATTATTTCCTTTTCTATGTTTCTTCCTAAGAAAATTTAAATTGATTATGCCTCTCTCTTTTTCATATTGCTGCACTTTTAACATACTCGTTTTCCTTAGTTTGTCAACTTAAACAGATATACGGTGGGCTACATAAATTCTCTTTCACCATTATGCTCTATAATGGGAAACATATCCAAAATACTAGAGCAAGTTCACATCTCATCAGGTGGCAATAGATTCCTTTTCCACTGGCATGGACTGTCATGCTCTATTTTCATGCCCATACTCATTTTGCATGCTTTGAAGCTGACTTAGCTGAATCAACAAGTTGGGAATTAGAGAGCAAGCTCTCATTCCCATCTTTACATGTTCAGCTGATAGAAATCTTGAGCTCAGGTCCAGCTTCAATTGTGGTGAATTCCACCAAAAAACTTCACCTTCCCTACGTTCTACATCTGTCAACCACAACCTTTTCAACCTCCCCTCCTGGGTATCCTCTTAGGATTGGTGTGACTATCAATGGCTCCAAGTAGAAGTAGTATAAAAAGTTTATATGTTCCATTCTTAATATTAATCATTGGCCAAAACATCCTTCTGAATATATTCAAAGTCTGAAATGGTTTCATACTCTCCTCAAGAAAGGACATAGTTGGGCAAGTATTCCCCGTTACCTTCTTAAATAATAGAAAATAGTGCATTCTTCTTCTTTATGGATGGAATATGTTGCACAGTATTTCTTTCTTGATCATGTACTGAATCACCTCATTTTCCCATTTGTTTAACTTCTTGATTCTGCTCGTGAAACGTCTCTGTTCAGTTTGTTCTTGAATATATGTGATTCTGGATTGCAGAAAAACTGGAACTTGTTTAGCGTAAATATAGCAATGGCAGGGACAGGCATCTACCAACTTTCACGAAAAATACAGTAAGTCTGTTTGAATCTCATTCCACTTGGCTACTTAACTATGTTAAAATTTATATTATACATATTAATTACTATTGGTAAGCAGAGGGAATCTTCAATTTTCACAACTCTGCAGATTGAGGTATTGCGTTGGAAGCAGTAAAAGAACACGAAAAAGGAGGATATTTAACAATATGAATGACTATCAGATGTCCTCTACATATTGGATGTTGGCTGTTTAACGTGTGTCTAGCTGTTTGTATCTGATTAAGTGGCTTGCTACTGTCATAACCTCATGTTTAATGTTGCTGTATTTGCAAATCAAGGTGGCACGTCCATGGACCATGACACTTATATTTAGTAACTTTTTTGTTTTCAGGCATGACTATTTCAATGAGGAACACGTTGCTGTTGCAAAAGAATGATGACGAAAATCTCCGAAAATTGTTTGGCTATGTTGAGGTACCCAGTTTGCTTCCTTGGCTCACGGTTGAACCAAGTTCTGGGATGTAAAATTTGTGCTTTCTCTAGAAGAAGCTTTATGGTTTTCCCTTTCTGTGATGATTTTATTTGTCCTGTGGGTGTTGAATCGTGGAATGTTATTCTGCTATTTAAGAGTCAATAATATGAACTTTGATGTAGTCGGAATGTCGATCACATTCTTTCCCTTCAATGAAGATTTAATGACTTGTTCTCGTTCTCTGGGAATGGCTTCACCATGTCTTCCAAGAAAACCAGCTGTATAATATGGACATATGGTTTCAAAAAGTTTATTTCGTCTTTCTTTGTTCCAGCCTTCTGGGTTGGGGATGTTAGAGAAGGTTTCTGCCCATAAAGATCAACATGGTAGGAGAGGGTCCATCAAGCGATCTTGATCTTAATCTATGTGCCCAATAAATCATTGTCAAAACCGAGGGATTTTCTAAAGGTAAGGAAAAGCGACTTTTTAGTACCGACGGTAGCAAAAATTATGATCGAAACAGATCAAGTTAGAGTTCAGTGAAGTTGAAATAACTGAATCATGAAACTTGGGAGTATCCTTGACCTCAATAGATTCACCTTATTCGGTCATACTTGTCTCCAAATTTTTTCCTGATACAGGATGGCCAAGAGAGAAAATTTCTAGGAATGCAATTGCACGACGAAAGACAATACTCTGACAGTAACATCAAATTGTTCATAGCTTGTTAGAAGGAAACAGACCGGTAAGAAGGCAGAAAAGATAACAAATGAGTCCTCAACAGGCAAGGCAAGACTTGTAAATTCATTCAGTCCATACTTAAGGTCAGTCCATAAAAATATCCAACTACAATCTGGAAAAATTTCACTTCATTCAATGGTAAAAAATATGATCCAATCTCTGAGTACACAGTACTATTACAAATTGTAGTTACTCCTGAGGGAAAGCAACAATTGAAGACAAACGTCACAAGAATGAGCCGCGTGAACTCACTTACCCAATGCAACTTGCAGCACAATAGAAAGCCTATATGGGAACTGCTCTTTTGGACTATGCTCAAATGGAGTTCAGTATTTTTCACTTCCTGGCGCCAGAATTTAATGAGAAAACGTGTCCCAACAATACTGGAGTTTACTCTCTACAATTGACCATTTTTAGACTGATTTGTTTTTGAGTCAGTGTCGTTGTTGCCATCATGGCCGTTCAAGCCCAAACTCAAATCCAAAGTGCTTTCATTTAGATCTTGCCTTGCTAGTGAATTACTCTCTGGGGCCTGACAAAATAGTACGAATCTAATTACATACAAACCATGCACAAAAAGTTATTTTGGTGTTCAACCAGGAAACAATCAGAGCTCAATTTTGACTACAGTAATTAACGATATCAATTTTTGGGAAGGAATCCAGACGTCACGACTCACGAAATAAAAATAGAAATTTGGAAGATGTTCACCATCTAAAGAAAGGAAGGATTAAAAAGGAAAAAATAAAAGAGCGTCTAAAAAGTGGTATTCGGCAAAGGGAAAACTATGGCAGACAAGAAAATTGGCTGAATATCTGTTGGTAGAGATATCAACAATATCACAAAAGGTGTCCTCCACGTCAGTGTAAATGGGCTTTCAGTACAAGTCAATAGTATAGACTATTCTTTGGAAAGAAAGACTCCAAGACCAATAAATAAAACCAACAAATGTGAAAATGGAACCAGAAAAAGAACGTGTAACTGGGCTACCTGATTTTCTTCCATTGGCACATCGTTGATGTCAGGTTTTTCGTCAACACTATCGGTTTTGGAAGTTGATTCTGTTGCATTTGTGTTGGTCTCAACTTGTTCTGCAGCTTCATCCTTTTGATCTTCCAGCACAGCAATCTAATATCAACCATTCAACGACAAGGAGAACAAAAATGTCAAATAGAACCAAATATCAAAAGCTCCTCGTTTGAACGCTTTATAGAAGCAGCAATGCAACAAACAGAAAGGACCTATGATGGTTTCGTGATAAGCCTGTAAAGCACATTGAAATGTCTTAATGTACAAAGGGAGTACAATACAGTACAAGAAAATCAAGCAACCTACTCTTACAAGCTTAGGCGTCTCAAAATTAATTTGTTAAAACACTCAAACAATTAGCCACAAATCGTTGAATATTGTTTGTTTTGGTGAAAATGTCCAAGCTTGAAATGATGTTCCAGCAGCAGAAATATGAGGCAGAATAGTGGTGGCGTTAAGAGTCAAACCCCTACCAGCCCCACCCCCAGAACCAAAACAAAACCAATGAGAAGAAGAGAGACATAGAAGAGCTCTTCCCAAATCCGATTTTATGTTTACCTTCACCCTCACTCTCCATCACTAATATCCACATCATATAACTCATTGAGATCCAATCTATATCCAAATGCAAACATCTTGAACCACTAGTACAACAGTAAATCATGCTTTGCTAGGGCAGGGAAGCGGAGTGATTCAAAGTGAGGAGGATTTTCTCTAAGCCAAATCAATCATCATGCACAGGAATTCCGAAACACAACAAAATCCACACAGCCCATCCATATTATATGAATAAAAACTAAGTACGCTGAAGAGTCATCTGGTTAACAAAACCTAACCATCACATCAGTGCAATAAGGACACTTACAATAGTGTTAACAGATATTAGAGAGATTTAATGTGATCCTCCTAACACATCAACTTGTGACACTGCTTTCAGTTCCCAGGATAGCATACAGACAGCATGAGTGTCCATGCTTAGGTTTGGCGCTCAAAAGATTATATACACTTCGTCATTTCCTTTAGTCCCATGAAAATGATTGTATTAAGGTGAAATTTCATGTTCCAGCAAACAACTTTCCACAGGAAAATGCTATAAGCAGTCTGTGGAGAATGAAATCCCGCATGGAAAACATATATCAGATTTACAAACACAACGTCCAAGTACAAAGTTAAGGTTGATCAAATTTAAAAAGCTCTATTTGGTTTAACTAGTGTCCCAACCTGATAAAGGTGACTAATACTAAGAGAATATAATGTGCTTATGTGTTTCTTGGTGAATTCCCTCTCAATTCTATTCTTATCCAACCAGCACAAACAAGCAACTCTAGAAAAATCACACACACAATAGCCCAAGTATTAGCTAGAACGGTGTCCTAAGATTCCAAAAGGGAGAGCTGAAGGATTGAAGGCCAGCTTCCAGGTAGATTACTTATCAATAGTCACATACAAGTAGACCAGGGCCACTCTACAATACTCAACCTGACACTATACTAAAAAGTTAAAAACAACAGACAAAATCATCTACTTGTCCACATGCAAATACCAAAAAAGACATATGATGGTTTTGTCTTAATGTAAAACTGGGGTTCTATTGATTACAAATCAGTCATCCTTTACCAAATAATCTTCACAGTTTAGGCTTCCCAAAATTAATTTGTGAAACCCTGCAAACAATTAGGTCACACACTTTGACTATTATTTGTTTTGTTCATAATTTCCAAGCTTCAAATGAACAAAAAGACCAGGAAAGGCCAACAGGTAAACAAATGAGCCAGAATAGTGGTGGGGAAAAACTACAGCCTAAGAAAGTAAACCCCCAACCACTAAACCAAACAAAACCATGAGAGAGAGAGAGATAGACACACACACACACACACAAAGGTGCTCTTCCCAAATCCAATTCCAAGTTTACTTTTTCCCTCTTTCTCAAACACTAATATCTACAGGATCCAAATCATTAAAATCTAATCAATATCCAGATTAATATGAATATAGACAAACATGTTGAATACCAGTACAAGAGTAAATCATGCTCTGCGAGTGCAGGGAAATCATAGTCATTCACAGTGAGAAGATTTTTCACTGAATCAAACAAATTAACTTGCATAGGAATTGTGAAACACAAAATAGAATCCACATAGCCAACCCATATTGTATCACTAACAAGTTATTTAAGCTGAAGAGGCATCTAGGAAAACCTATTAACCAAATTTGTGCAACAAGAATTGTTCTAAATAATGTTAATGGTCATTGCAATGGAAGTGGTAACATGTAACGGACAAAGGGTGAGGTAATCATAGACTAAGGGACACTCGTTAGCTTGACAAAGTCAGTCCCCCCATTAGTTAGACTCGAACATAAGCTCAAAGGTATCCATGAGTAGACAGGTGACTACCCAATAATGGAACCTAAAAAGGGTAGTCCAATGCACGAGATTTTTGCCAATACTTGTAACTAGATATACCGAATTACCAACACTGGTATCGACCTTCAATGGCTTTTCACTAGCTAATTTAAGATTGATATTTATAGAATTACTTGATCTTTGTAGAAATTTAAACAACTAACCTAACATGTTCATGACTGTCCTCCAAGAAAATGAGAAATTTCCTTGCGGGCCTTGTCACTACTATCTCCTTGTATGGCTACTCTGATTCCATCTTTGTAATACTCAACAAAAGAATCTAAAATCTAAAAATAAAATATATAAGGCACACACTGAAAAATTTAATCTTATAATGTTAAAGATTCATATAAAAAGCCCTATCAAAGATTATAGTGTGACTCGATGCACGAGGTACTTGCCACTGTGGCAGTTTAGGGTGGGCCAGACGTACATATCTCTATCCCAGCATATACAGAAGCTATTGCCACAATTTAAACCCTTGACAACTAGGTCACAATAAAACAATTCTATCAATACGCTAAGGTCCACCCTCAACATCATGGTATAGCCTCGACTTAAATTTATTTGAAAAAAAATCCTCCTTGGTTACATTTAATTAAACACTTATTTTCACAGCCCGTGAATTGACAAACCTATTGGCAAATAGCACTTGGAGAGATTACATGAGCTTTTAGCAACATCCAAAAAAAATTGTAACTAGAAGTTGTCACATTTAATAATTCCGTAGCTAAGTGAAAATCCAGATTCAATGTATTAATAGCTGTAATTGATTATTTTTTCTCTTCTGACAAAAATACTAGTCAAAACTTATCATCAACCCTGGCTACTATTTCTTTCCCTTTTGAAGTGTTTATTGAAGTGCTACAAAGAATTGTCCCAAAAAAAGTTGTTGCATATCCTAAGAAACTCTCAAATTAACCTTATGAAAACACAGCTAAAACAAATTAACTTTGTCAATTCCATCTAAACACCTACATAATAGCTAGTCCTGATCCCAAAAAAAAAATATGGAATCTACATAGACATTATGACACATGCTCCTAAAAGCAAAAATAATTCATTCAGGTTACAATGATGTACAGCTGGATTCCTAACGGTCTACCCATCTAACCAAATACATTGCATCAGGTATGACCCCATCCCTCAACAGTTGCAGTTTGTTGCAAGTGGTTGCTGTTGTTCAATTGGTGAAACTCACGTGGTTATTTGTTCAGTTACTGTAGTGGCTTCATTTTGAGTTTGCTGTGACTGCTCTTGATTAATATAAAAAGCCTCTCATTCTTCCTTCCAACTTTCAACACAACAAACAAAATTACATAAGGCCACAACTTAAACAATTTAAAGGCTCACAATCTAATTTCCTTTAGGAATAATCTGTCAAAACTCTGCCAACTATGACATTATCATTACCGAAGATCATCTATTCCAAACATTATCCCACATTTATTTCCGACAGTCCAAACCCACTAACAACCCAATTCCCACTATTTAATTGCTTAAAAAGAAGTCCCAGTTTTTACATTTTTGGAAGCAAAAACCCTAGACCACTGTTCACCACATAATACAGCATACACAAGTGTCAGTCAGATCAAATTCCAATCTAATTCAACAATCCAACGAGAACCCTACACATACACCCAACACAACACATCACTACACATACATAAACGCATACATACAAATAGATAACGACATATTTCAGTTGAGTTGAAATTTGAGAAGTGTAGCAACCGAAAAATACCGGAATATATTTGAATTTACGTCTTGGTGGCTCCTCCAATGCAACGACGTCGTCTTTACCAGAATTCTTGGTCTCGCCATTGCTGTTACTGTCATTGTTATTGTTGTTGTTGTTGTTGCTGTTTTGGCTTTGGGAAATTGGGGTCCACTTGTAGAGAAAGAGATGAGAGCCGTTACTACCGTTAGCATTACCATTACTAGCAGCTGTTTGATGCTGAGAGTGATTGTTGGAATTGGGTGGTGTTACAGGGACCCATTTCTTCTTCCACTTCCGAACCGGTCCAGTGAACACCGTGGCCGGTCCGTATCGAGTCGAGGACCGCCCGAGACGTGCCCCAACTCCCTCCATTGTTAAATCGGCGGATTATTGGTGGCGGATCGGTGGTGTAGTCGCCGATCCGTGGCTGAATGGTGAAGGCGAAATTCTGTGTGTATGTATATAGTTTTTCGAGTATAAAAGGTGCTGTGGGTTCCAAGTTTGGTAAGGATTAGGTAAGGTTTGGTGTTATGAGAGAATATGTGGCGGGTGAATCAGAGCCGTTGGGAGCAATGAGGATTTTGAATCTGAGAAGTTTACATGGGACCCTTTCCGTTTTAATCAAATGATACGAACTACCCCCGATATTTTTACAAATGCCACAACAACTCCAATTAACTTTGAAAGGTCTTAATCTATAATAATAAAATAATTTTTTCATTTAAATATAAATTTTTAATTTTTTAGTTATAAGAAATCACTTAAATTTTAATTTTTTAATTACAATAACTCATTTAAATTTTACTTTTAACCATAGCAACTTAGCACATACATTAAAAAAAATAGTGCTTTTGCGCGGGACACACTAGAGATTTTATAATATAAAGAGGATTTTATACATGTTAAAAATAAATATTTATAATTAAATCTAAATATATACCCAATTCCAAACTAATAAACCATGCCCAAAATTCTCCCACGCTTCATTTCTATCTATATCGCATGAGAAAGGAATACCTTTATTTATGTGACATAGCATATACCTCATGAGATGCACAAAATTTATAACTCATATCAATAACTTGAAGCCAAGTAACGGAATTTACTAATTGAGATTTGAATTCAAGTCCATTATCTCAAGAAGGCTAACCTCACTCCCAATGGTGACATGGATTTATGAGAAGATAGTGTAGGCCTGGCAATTCTAAATGCGATTTGTGAAACCGTAGATTTAGCGAATTTGAGTGTAGTTCTGGTTCGGTTGGTTAACAGTTTAACTCGGCAAATTTATGAAATAAACGAATCGATTTCGTGTTTAATTTATAAACTTGTTTTAATCTATTTAACCCGTTAACAGTGTTACTATAATTTTTTTTTTAAAAAGCTAAGTCTCTCGGCCTTTGCTTCATCTCACACCTCTTATTTTTCAGACTCATTCAAATTTAGTAGTCATTTAATGTTTATTTTTTATCTCTATTTTTTTGTTCAGGCATGATTTATTGTTATAGTAAACATGTCAAACATGTGTAATGTGTAGCGAGTTGATGATTTTTTGTGTGAACTCAAAATATTCTAACATATTCTCTTATTTAACGGGTGACACACGGGTTGTATCATATAACCCGTCTAATAAATAATTTATGTATGGGTGTAATAATTATAATCGTTTATATAAATGAATAGAGTATGAATAAAAAAAAAATTATACAAATTTATTTCACCTAACACGAAATCGTTCCAATCAAGTCATTTTGATCTATCGAAAACGATTGTCTAAACTTACTAACGAAAGTGGTCATACGTTGCTCACACGATCACAACTGACCTTTGGTCTCTGTCATTTTGGTGTTCAATTTATCCGATAATCTCACTTTGTACCCTTAAGGATTAAGAATTTTTTATGTTATACCTTCAAATATTAAATTTCTCATATTATATCTTTAATGTATTAGTTTTTGGTGATTGTTCTATCAAAAATTGCCCTATTGACATTGATAGAATGAGGAACGAAAACTAATGAAAGAACCCCCTTATAGTGTTTTTAATACATTAATGATACGATATAAAAAATATAATATTTAAAACCACAAAGTGAGAATTCCTAAATTTTTAGGGTATAAAGTATAATTTTTTTTTCCTAGCCTCTATTGTTTACAACCTGCCACACATCTATATAATCTATGGACTAAATTACATATATAATCTTCAAACTAAATTAAGAATGCGTTTGAAATGACTTATGAAATCTTATAAATACTTTTTTAATAAGAGTTTATCAAAAATATTTTATAAGAAAACACTTTTATTAAATAAGTATTGTTTGGATATTCAAAATAAAAAATGTTTAAATTAAAATATTCTATAAAAAATATGTTTGGATGTAAAAATATTTATTTACATTGTCGACTACTTATCGGAAAATAACTTTTCGAGGACCAATTACATGTGGCATTAGTCACTGGATATGGTCCTCAAAACGTTATTTACACCGGCTTTTACCATGTCAACGTCACTTTCCTCTGTTACCTAGCTCACGTCGTTAGCATATTTTCATCTCAACTTCCTCATAATCAAAACTCTATTAGGAAAGTTGTAATTGAAATTTATGTGTCATTTCATGGAGATGATAAGTTTTGCTATTCAAATCCACCAGATTTATATATAAAAACGAACAACTTGACCACCTGACAAGGCCACGGAGCTTACTGGAAAATTCTAGTGAGGATCAATAGATCTTTGATTGGATCGGTGGTGCCATTTCATGTTATCTTCATTGGTGGAATTAATCCATTGTTTTGGGAACCAGTGGTTTCGATTGGGGCTTTTGATTTACCAACCTATGATTTCGATCTAACTCCTTTTTTGGGAAAGCTGCTTGATAGGAAGCATCATCTGTTTGGGCTTGGAGTGGCTTGTAGTATTCATTTTTGGCTTGTTGATCTTAAATCGTCGGAGGTTTCAAGCTGAAGTTGGTGGTAATCAAATTCCCACTCTTTTGATTGAACATCAGTCGAGCGTCGTTGGACATCGGTGAGGTGATTGGTGTTGTTTTGTGGATGTCGACGAGGCAGAGGTGTTGATCGTGAAAAAAAAAAGNATTTTTTTTTCCTAGCCTCTATTGTTTACAACCTGCCACACATCTATATAATCTATGGACTAAATTACATATATAATCTTCAAACTAAATTAAGAATGCGTTTGAAATGACTTATGAAATCTTATAAATACTTTTTTAATAAGAGTTTATCAAAAATATTTTATAAGAAAACACTTTTATTAAATAAGTATTGTTTGGATATTCAAAATAAAAAATGTTTAAATTAAAATATTCTATAAAAAATATGTTTGGATGTAAAAATATTTATTTACATTGTCGACTACTTATCGGAAAATAACTTTTCGAGGACCAATTACATGTGGCATTAGTCACTGGATATGGTCCTCAAAACGTTATTTACACCGGCTTTTACCATGTCAACGTCACTTTCCTCTGTTACCTAGCTCACGTCGTTAGCATATTTTCATCTCAACTTCCTCATAATCAAAACTCTATTAGGAAAGTTGTAATTGAAATTTATGTGTCATTTCATGGAGATGATAAGTTTTGCTATTCAAATCCACCAGATTTATATATAAAAACGAACAACTTGACCACCTGACAAGGCCACGGAGCTTACTGGAAAATTCTAGTGAGGATCAATAGATCTTTGATTGGATCGGTGGTGCCATTTCATGTTATCTTCATTGGTGGAATTAATCCATTGTTTTGGGAACCAGTGGTTTCGATTGGGGCTTTTGATTTACCAACCTATGATTTCGATCTAACTCCTTTTTTGGGAAAGCTGCTTGATAGGAAGCATCATCTGTTTGGGCTTGGAGTGGCTTGTAGTATTCATTTTTGGCTTGTTGATCTTAAATCGTCGGAGGTTTCAAGCTGAAGTTGGTGGTAATCAAATTCCCACTCTTTTGATTGAACATCAGTCGAGCGTCGTTGGACATCGGTGAGGTGATTGGTGTTGTTTTGTGGATGTCGACGAGGCAGAGGTGTTGATCGTGAAAAAAAAAAGTGTTTTATCAAAAGAAAAAAAAATTGACTTGTACTTATTAACTTATTTAAGTGTTAAAATTACTTTTATTTATTTAAAAGTGTTTTTGAGAAGTTATCCCAAACACTACTTTTTTTTAAAAAGAACTTATGATGAGTCAAAAATTCTAAAAGTGTTTTTTTTTTAAGTCATTTCAAACACACTCTAAATCCCTAAATTTTTTTCATATCAATTAAATCTTTAAACTATTTAATTGTGTCAATTGAGCCTTTTTATTTGTCTCTGTTAGAGTATGACAATATGACACAAAAAGACAAAAGGGTTCAATTGTCATAATTATATAGTTAAGGAGATCAATTGACACAAAAAAATAAAAGCTCATGAACTTAATTAACACAAGAGTTATATATATAATTTATTTTAACTATTTGTATTACGTGAATGACATACTTTATCATTTTTCAATTAAAAAATCCAACCGAGGTAGATAGGCAAAAGAGTTCAATTAATACAATTAGGAAATTCAATGACTCAATTGACAAAAAAAAAATAAAAAAATTAAGGATTTAATTAACACAAGAGTCATAGTTTGAGAGTCAGATATGCAATTTACACTAATCCAATTCCCAAAACATAACGTTACCCTAAGATTTTTTTGCACTTCAAATTATCCCAAAAATTTGTCTACTTCGATCTAATAGTTAAAAATTACTTTTAATTATTTTTTTTGTTTAATATTATTTAGACTTAAAATTTTAATTTAATTTGATTATAATTATTAAAATTAATAACAAAATTTAATATTTAATGGGATATACAATCAATTAAATGACTATAATGAATTAGGTTAATAAATTTGATCCTGATTTCATTAACCATTCCCCTTTCCCAAGCCGGCTTATGTCTTTGCATTTACCCCTAAATTAGCGCCACAAAATCACCCTCAAAATAGCGCCCAACCCTAACAATTGCAGACCCGCGACATCTCTGACGCTGCTTTATTGCACCAGCCATCTTGCGACACAGGTGTAAAGTCTCTCTCTTCACAATCTCTCTTTTCGCATTCACGCCCAATCCATCATGCCACCAAGACCACTAGCCCACGCCACCAGCATTGCCAGGCCTCCGTCACCAAATTTTATTCCAGCGAACCACATCCCATCACCAGGTGTGGAGTCAAGAATTTTATTCAGGGTAGACACTTTAATTATGCACTCTAATTTTTTTTTTCTAACCAATCACACTATATAACATATTGATATTTATTATATTATATTTGATATATGAAGTCCATTTAACATAAAAAAATTTTAAAAAAAATGTAAATTGCCAAGGGCGGATCCATGAATATCTATGATAGAGGTAAAATATAATTTGTATAAAAAAATATTAAGCCGAAATTAATACAAAAAAATTCAATTCAAGAATAAAAAAAAATAAGAATCAATGCTAATTTATTGTGAAATAATAAATTCAATTTTTATTTAGTCAAAACAAAATATTAACAAAAAGACACAAAATAATTTTTTTAGTACATTTTAACCTAATTATATATTTCAATAAAATATAATTTTTTTTAAAATCTCTAAAAATTTTTGTATATGAATTAAATGTAAATTAATTTTTGTATTTTATTAAGTTATAGACTACTATTACTAAAAAAAATGTTAAATGAAAACTAAATCATTATTAAAAAGTAACGAACATTGTGTTAGATAAAGATAAATATTATATTTTCGTCAATATACAAATAAAACATTGACTCAATCCAAAAATAACATATTTATTTTAGAGGGTTAGTGGTCCACTAATTTATTAAAAAAAAAAAGATTAGAACCATTATTAAAATTTTCAAAAATTTAGGGGGTAAATATAATGTATAAAATATTTTTACAGGTTAGTGCAAGGAACGACAAAAAAACTCAAGAAACTGAGCTTTTTCTGTGTTGAGTTTTTCTCTTTTTCTTGTGGCTGGGTAGTGGGCAGCTGGAAGTGGGTGATACAGAGAGAAAAAAAAATAAAGAAATATAAGATAGGTTTTAGTCAAGTGGGCCAAAAGTTTTGTTTTTTAATGATGGTGGACCAAAAGTTTTGTTTTTAATGTTGGGCCAAAATTTTTGTTTTTAATATTAGGTTAAAAGTTTTGTTTTTTAATACATTTGGATGGATTGTGATAGGTTAAATATTTGATTTTTTAATAAGTTTGAATAGATAATAGTGAGTTTAATCTTTTTTTTTTAAATGAACTTAATTGTTTAATTATTTTGAGGAAATAATGTGGGACTAATTTAAATGAGGTGGGCACACATAATATATATGTATAAATATATAATACATATATCTAACTAATAAAAAAAAAAAAAAAGTGAGGGGGCACATGCCCACCCTGGCCCTACCTTCCCTCCGCCCATGCCCATCTCCAACTTACGCCACCAGCATCACCTGGCCATCCCCACCAGATCCCACTTCACGTATCTATCTCGAAGCCAAGGGTAACCCAACATAAACTGGAGCCTAAACTAAGAATTTTACTTGAGATTTTATTCAATATTTTAGGAATGATAATAATTTTTTTAATAAAATATTAGACATTTTATAGAAAGTTGCAGTATGATTTATTTTTAGGAGTCTTGAGATTGGGCGAGATAAAATAATAAATTGGGTACAATTGTAATGTTATAATGTTACGTATTAATAAATTAAACGAAAACTTAAAGTGACAAACCAAAAGTTAGAGATAATGACAAAAAATCAAAGCAAGACAATGAGGGTGGGAGGGAGAAAAAGAGTAGAAGAGAGGCAAGGAGAGTCAAGAAAAAAATAATGAAAATAATCGAAAATGATTGTAATTTTTAAAAGTAGAAGTCATTATTTTTATATATTTTTTAGAAGGATTTGTGATATTTTATGACTTTCTATAAGGTTTAAGTAGATTTATGAATTGTTATATTTTATAACTTTTTATAAGACTTTAGATAAACTTGTAAAATATATTAAACATTAAACTTTGTCCATTCAAAAGAGCCTCATACACACGAAGTTGAACTAAAAACTAAAAATTAATTCGGGGCCATAAATTTTTGGGGCTCTAAGTGACTATTTTAATGGTTGGCCCCTAGGGCTGACTTTACTGCGGCTCCTTCCATCCAAAAAATCGAAGTGTTTGCGCATTTCGTAATAATTGTAGTCTCTACTCGTCCTTTACTGTCCAGTTTTTGTTCATGAAATCGATTAAGTAAGACAAATTGATTACTGAATTATATACAATAATTAAATGTAATATTTGTGTTATTTTATATTTTATGCATTTTTTTTATTTGTCAAATTATGTGTAGACCGTTATAAGGTATTGTCATAATAAAGATGTTCGATGTTACAACGTAGTGTCACATAATTTTTTTTTTTTAGTAATTTAGATATCTAAGATATATTAAACATTACATAGGTGTTATTTAATACACATGTTATCTGCGTACAACTGTTCAATAATATAAATCATAGGAATTGCATATATATATCATCTTGACTAAGTATACATTTTTTAGCAAATTTGACCCACATTTTTTAGGATACTATTGTTTCATTACTGTTTTTATGTTTTTTTAATTTATTTTGTTTGTTGTTCATAAAAATTGTGGTATTACATGGTCGACTATCAGTTTATATTTGTAATTCCTTATTATTAGATTATTTTACTATTTTATTTATGATTCTTAACTTGTTTATGTATTCAACGTTCACCTACTATTTTATTGCGTTTTATTTTTTTCAATAATAACTTTATTGATTTTTTTTTGATATTAATTACTTTTTATTGTGAATCCTTTATGAAAATAAATAATTTAATTAGTTGGTGTTTTTATATTTAAATAGAAACAAAATCAAGTTTGAGAAAAATAGAAAATGCATTTGATTTATTTTTATTTATAGAAGAGATATGCTTATTTTATTTTTTTTATCCAAGTATTAACCCTTTTTCTCTGTCATTTAAAATGTGTATGTGTGACATGGACTACGCTTTTTAACCTAAATTTTAAAATTTATTTTATTAACTTAATCTTTCAACTAGGGGAGTTTAAATTTTTCCATACCCGACCAATTTCGACCTTACCCAACCTGAATTATAAGCTTCTGTAAAAATCGGCCGGCTAATGAAAGGATTTTTAGTGCTTTGGGTAGGAATGCGAAATTCGCACAAAATTTTTGCATTCTTACCCGATTCGATTCTATTCGACCCACCGCATGTATAATTTTTTAAAAAACTATATATATGTTAATTTGTGCACAAAAATTCTAAAATTCCTAGCGCATCCTCCACCGAGTCTCGTATACTTTCGCCTCTTTCTTCATCGTCTTGTCAGTCAATTGATCCCTAGCGCCTCCTCCTCTTCGAGTCTCAGAGACTCTCGCCTCTCTCGCCGCCTTCTCTTCGAAGCCATACGCATCCCAGGTTCTCTCTCTCTCTGTATGACAGTCTATGTGTGAACCTTAATTCTTTTGTTTTTCTGAAATTGAAATCATATGATGAGAGTTGCAGGAGTTTTTTTTGTTAAGCTAAATTATAATGAGTTTTAATCATTGATCTATATCTCATTATTGAACTTTAAAATTTGGGGCCTTTTTAATATGTAGGGCTTAAAGCTCATACTTTTTTGAATATACTGTTGAGCCGGCCATGCTCAAAGCAGTTAGAGTCTATTGGGCGCCGGGGGGGGGACTTATGCTAGCTTTAATTTCGGCAATTAAGGATGGGTAAAATTTTTTATTCCCTGGGTGTGAACTTATCTAGCCGTAGGCTAACGAGGTTGGCAAAGATTACCATCCAATAAGTCCTGTGTGGTATTTAAACTCTCAATTGTCATCTTTATTTTTTACATGGCCATCCATATTATGGTGGAAATAGATATGACATAATGGCAGACTAATTTGTTGTGAAAAAATAGTTTGGTGGACTGATTTTTTGAGTTTCTGAATTTTTTATTTTGATTGTGTGATTTGTTGATGAGCATTTTTTTTTCGCAATTGTCTGTGTTTATGTTATTCTTTCAGTTGGTAAATTTCAAACATTGGAGGACAGACCTTTGCTTTAATTTGCGATATCGATTGATTTGGTGAATTAGTCATAGACATTCCCTAAGTTATCTTCTATGAGCTCTCATTATGATTTTCATTTTGGACAGCATAGGATACTTTGGACATGTTGCGGTAGTAGATAAATGATCATACTTGGTTAAGATTGTGTTGTGATGTTGAGTTCAGTAATTGGTTTCGCTTTTTTAAGAATAAGCAGACTTGCTCCAATTGACAGGCTGTCATGACATGATTATGAAAGTTGTGTACACATATTATTCAAATTATATTTTTTTAGATGAAATTTTGTCGATTTTTTTTTTAAATATTAGTGGACTCATATTTTTTGGCAATTGGCAAAAATTTGTGTTATACATCGCATTTCTGCTTAGACAAATCCTTGCACTATTTATTTTTACAAGTTACACAAGCAGGGGCAATTGCTAATGCATACAGTGATTGCGAATATATTTATGTTATGCTCATGCATATACATGTGCATATATATAACTGTATTGGTGATCACCTATTCTAGTACAAAAATCTCTCACTCGAGACGAGAGACTGACTCATTAAAACCTCTGGAACACCAAGTTGTTCACACCCCATTTATATTCAAGTTCCCAAATTTCTGATTTTTGCTTTGACTTTAAGGTTAGGTATAAACTGTATATGTATATATGTACGTATTATTGTTTGTACGATGCATATTGAGTTATTTCACCAAGGGAAGGAGGTCTCAAAGAAGCCGTTAGGTGTTATTTGGAAATATTTAAATAAATCACATCTGCATTTTGACTTTTATTTTTCTGTTGATTTTCTTTTGGCAGTTGGTGTAGTTTGTGGGCACGGAAAATAAAATCCATTGCCTTGATTTAAGTCAAATCCTATTCAACTCTGCTTATGTATTGATTGATTTTTTTTGTGGGAATAGCTTTGACAGATGTTAGCTGAAATGCCTAAGCAAACAACCATTGGAACCATGTGATAAGCAGTATGGGCGCCAAAAGTGTCAAATGAATTGCCATGATTGTCACATTGGGATTGGCTTCAAAAAAATTTGTTTCTTCTTGGCGTAAATATGAAGAATTCTTTTTTTGGATGTAATTTTTATTGAGTTTCAAAATATTCTGTAATTAGCTTTTCTTTATTCATTTGGACTTATTTGCATTCTATTGTTTAGTTGTCAGATGCTTACATAAAAACTGGAGATGTGGGTGTGAGCAAGAGGATATTTCTTCTCTCTTGCAATTGGCTCCTTTTCCTCGTGCTGTGTTTTTGTTAATCTCTATGCATTACTTTGTTGTCTTGGGCTAGTTTTAGGGCTTTTTAAGTTTCCACAGAAATGTAGTGAAAATATGAAGTGTTTTCGCATGTCGTTCATGCCACTAAATAGTATTATTTGTAGTGCAACTATTCAAATTCTGATTTTATTCCTGTTAGTTTTAAATGGCTGGGGAAGAACAGGATGTAAAGGTCACAAAACCTTCAGAGACAGAGACTTCAAAATCAAATGAAGTAACGATAGAAACTGCGAAAGTTAAAAGGAAGCAGCGATTGTTAAAGGAAGCTGCAAAGGCTGACAAGCGTGGGGTTTGCTACTTGAGCAGAATTCCTCCACATATGGATCATGTGAAGCTTCGCCATATTCTCTCTCAGTACGGAGAAATTCAAAGAATCTATCTTACTCCTGAAGGTTAGTTGTAATTGTTTTTATATTCTTTCCTTTTACTTCTAATTCTTACCTGACTTTTGATCAAATAGCACCTAGACCCCTTGACATTTTTAAAATTATACAGCCGCCCCTTGAGTTTTACAAATCATTACACACGGGACCCTCTTTGCCTAACGACTGTCACTGACAGTCCGACTCTAACGAAAAATGATTATTCAGCCACAAAATGTTTGTTTTTTCCCAAGAATAAAATTTCAAAACAAGTTTATTTTATAAAAATACAATGTTATCCCTACCTTATTTTAAATATGTTAATTAAACTTACTTTATCTAGAATTTATAAAATGTAATCTGCCAATACTTTAGTTTTCCAAATAAAGGTAATCAAATTAGTTGCGCTAATTCAGTAAATTTTATGCCAAATCTGAATCAAATCTATTCAATCCTAGTAATGTTACGTGTACTAAGTTTTTCATCTTAAGTGATATGATGAAGTTTTCATCATTAAATATTAATGGGAACTACTTATTTGAGAGTGAAAATTATACCACATCATTGAAAATTTTGGTAAGAAGTTTTGGTCAACATAGCAGTGTTGATTCAATCCTATTCACTAAGCTAATTTTTTCCCTAAATTATGCTCAAATATAGTCAATTATATCAATTTAGCCAAATTTAACACCAAATTAAAATATAACCTCGAATTATGTCCACTAAATTCAGACTGAATTGTCATTGCAAACACCGTTGCCACCACAACCAAAATACCTGACGTGTCCACTGTCGCCCTTTCGTTGGTTCACCATCCTAAACCCACAACTTTCATGAACTGCAGCAAAACCCGAAGAACGGGATCTGGATTCGGACTACTACGAGATGGTGAGGGTGGAGACTTGGGTGCGGGCTGTTGCGAGATGGGGGAATCTAGGTCGTGGCTGAAGAGGGGGGACAGATTGGGAGAAGAAGGGAGGTTTCTAGCAGAAGGGGGTTGGGGTGGGGCGGTGTGTGTGCAGTGTTGGTGAGATCTGTGCATGAAACCTCTGTGTGTGTGTGTGTGTGAGAGAGAGAGAGAGAGATGATGACGGACCTGGTGCATTTAGGTATTCATTTTTGGAGGATGAAGAGGGGGGAAGGGTGGCAGAGAGGAAAAAGAAGAAGAAGGGGGTCGGGGTTGGGGTTGGGGTTGGGGTTGGGGAANCGCCATATTCTCTCTCAGTACGGAGAAATTCAAAGAATCTATCTTACTCCTGAAGGTTAGTTGTAATTGTTTTTATATTCTTTCCTTTTACTTCTAATTCTTACCTGACTTTTGATCAAATAGCACCTAGACCCCTTGACATTTTTAAAATTATACAGCCGCCCCTTGAGTTTTACAAATCATTACACACGGGACCCTCTTTGCCTAACGACTGTCACTGACAGTCCGACTCTAACGAAAAATGATTATTCAGCCACAAAATGTTTGTTTTTTCCCAAGAATAAAATTTCAAAACAAGTTTATTTTATAAAAATACAATGTTATCCCTACCTTATTTTAAATATGTTAATTAAACTTACTTTATCTAGAATTTATAAAATGTAATCTGCCAATACTTTAGTTTTCCAAATAAAGGTAATCAAATTAGTTGCGCTAATTCAGTAAATTTTATGCCAAATCTGAATCAAATCTATTCAATCCTAGTAATGTTACGTGTACTAAGTTTTTCATCTTAAGTGATATGATGAAGTTTTCATCATTAAATATTAATGGGAACTACTTATTTGAGAGTGAAAATTATACCACATCATTGAAAATTTTGGTAAGAAGTTTTGGTCAACATAGCAGTGTTGATTCAATCCTATTCACTAAGCTAATTTTTTCCCTAAATTATGCTCAAATATAGTCAATTATATCAATTTAGCCAAATTTAACACCAAATTAAAATATAACCTCGAATTATGTCCACTAAATTCAGACTGAATTGTCATTGCAAACACCGTTGCCACCACAACCAAAATACCTGACGTGTCCACTGTCGCCCTTTCGTTGGTTCACCATCCTAAACCCACAACTTTCATGAACTGCAGCAAAACCCGAAGAACGGGATCTGGATTCGGACTACTACGAGATGGTGAGGGTGGAGACTTGGGTGCGGGCTGTTGCGAGATGGGGGAATCTAGGTCGTGGCTGAAGAGGGGGGACAGATTGGGAGAAGAAGGGAGGTTTCTAGCAGAAGGGGGTTGGGGTGGGGCGGTGTGTGTGCAGTGTTGGTGAGATCTGTGCATGAAACCTCTGTGTGTGTGTGTGTGTGAGAGAGAGAGAGAGAGATGATGACGGACCTGGTGCATTTAGGTATTCATTTTTGGAGGATGAAGAGGGGGGAAGGGTGGCAGAGAGGAAAAAGAAGAAGAAGGGGGTCGGGGTTGGGGTTGGGGTTGGGGTTGGGGAAGGGGCACAAGACTGTGCTAGGGTGGGAGGTGGAGAGGAGGACGGGCCTGTGCGTGAGGAAGAAGTTTGGGGACAAAGAAGGTGGTTTTAGAGAGGAGGCTCCCAGTCTTGGGATTCGGCTCTGGGTTTGAAATTTGGGTAAAAAACTTGACAAGTTAGACTAGGGTAAAGAATCTTTTTGTTGAAATTGTTAACGGCAATTGATTTTTAACGACGATTGGCGTCTCCGTGCAATTTAAAAATGTCAGGGTGTCTCCCTGACATCTAAAAAAATTAATTAATGACAATTTTTTTAGAGATCCATGATTATGTAATTGCTCAGTTGTCTGAGTGTTTACATGGCTCTTATTAGCATTAGATTTAAACCCTGTCTTGTAGCAAATGTGCTCGTACTTCACTGCTTTAAAGCTTTCTTCACTTATTTACAGATCCTGCTGTTCGTGTTCATCGTAAACGTGCTGGTGGATTTCGAGGGCAAGAATTTTCAGAAGGGTAAGTATATTTTGCAAGTTGTCTTTGAACTCATGGTGAGTATTGCAGGACATCTACCGTATCCATGTAAACGTATGCTCAAGAAATTGATTTTTGTGGAATTGTATGGTGGCATTTTTTGTTACCTTGGGACCTTATTGTTGATGTCGTTACTTTAGGTTTTTATTTTTTAAAATCTTACAAGGTAATGCTTGGGTGATACCAACACAATGTCATACAGCTGCTTCTGCGTGTAGGTGGGTGGAATTTAGCAAAAGGAGTGTGGCAAAGAGGGTTGCTAAAATGTTAAATGGCGAACAAATAGGTATCAAGTTTGGTATCTTTCGAAGTAGTGGCATATGATTTTCTTAGCTTCATCCTTTTTCTTGAAAAATTTATTTATTATGCAAACTGAAGTGGCTTACTGTTGCCCTATTTTTTCTCTCATATTTCATGAATGTGTTAGATGCTCAGCTGCTTTTTGATTTTGTTACAAAATCTGCAGCAAATTGATTTTTTACTTTTGGCATAATTGTCAGAGCATTGTATGTTTCTGCATTGTTAAAAAATATGGTGAGAATGGAAAGTAAAGTGTTAATTGGGGCTGAAATTCCTATGCAAAAATGATAAGATTCCCTAAAGTCAACTTTTAGTTCTGATGTTTGCTTTGTAATCATGAATTTGAAAACATTTATTCATTTGGGTATCCTTATATGATATATGACCTCTATAGGAAGCAGCATGGGCCTTAGTGTTCCTTGTTGTCATATTAAGTGTATTACATTGTCAAGTTTTCAATGTTTGCATGTTGTGTTATTTTTAGGTGGGAGAAAGAGGTCAGCATTCTATTATGATCTTTGGAATATCAAATACTTGAGTAAATTCAAGTGGGATGATCTTACTGAAGAGATTGGTACAAAGCTCTTTCAATTGTGTGGTTTAACTTGTTAAACTGGTCATTTCCTCGGCTGATATTTTTTTCTTGCACTGTAGCCTACAAGAATGCTATTCGGGAACAGAAACTAGCGTTGGAGATTTCTGCTGCTAAGAGGGAGCGGGATTTCTACCTCTCAAAAGTCGATCAGTCTCGTGCTTTAAGTTCTATTGAAGAAAGAATAAAGAAGGTAAGCATCCACGTTGGTCTCTCACACATGGTTTATTGAAGTTGCTTCTACCTGTCAGCATTCGGTTTAAATCTAGCCAGTAAGTATTAAGTCTTTCTTTGTTTCAAATCATATTAGAATTTTGATAATCTGTTTCCCTTACCTCTCCAGAAGCAAAAGGTCCAACAAGAGTTGGGAGCGACATCTGAGCTTTCCAATAACCAGCAGACACCAAAAGTGATTCGCCATTTCCCACAGACAAGGCCGGTTGCTGATAATGCTCGAGAAACCCGGCTTCGACTCTCGAAAGATATCCTGGCTAGAGTGAGTGGCTTTAAAGTTACAAGGATGTATTCATCTTCTATTGTATTTTCACAAGATATGTTAACTCAAGCTCTACCAAATGTTCCTCGCAGGTATTCGGCGGCAGTTCATGAGAGTTTGTGTGCATGTGGAGATTCCTCTCATCACTTTTTCACATTTTCTTTCTCTGTTTTTTGGATCTGCTCCTCTCACCACCTGACATTTTGACCTTCCCTTCAATTGTGTCAGTGATTATGCAGTACCTTGTAATTATAGGAATGCTGTCGATACTAACACATCTCTTTTCAACCGAGGAAGAAAACAAGAACATTTCGTTTTATTTTTAGTAAAATAGTGAAGGATATTACATTAGTAATGAAACCATTTGTAGGGAATGTTAAAGATTCCATTACTCACAATGTCATCGATCTTGATCTTGATCTCCTCAAAATTGCAGTGATGGTAGCTGAGGAAGCAATTCCAATGATGACCACACTGAAGCCTTGTTATTATTGATACCAAAAGGGTATGAGAAAAAAAAGCACAAAAAAATTAGAGCAAATGCCAAATGAAAAAAAAGGTTCTGGCTGTAATACAAACGATTTTCTTGCTTTAGCAACTCTTGCAAGTTTTTCACAGCAGTATAATCAGTAAGTTTGATGGTGCACATAGTCATTCCAAATTTCATAGTGATTGGTGGTCTATCTGTAAATATTTAATCAAACCAGATAATAAACCGCTTGTATTGAGAGAATTTCATTTAGGAAAACTAAAGAAAAAATTGAGGCTAGTCGAAACCACAAAAATGTTGCTATGACCGGTGGTATCAAGTGTACAACGATGAAGAACAAATCATGTGACTAGGGGTCAATTTAACAAACGAAATTTTGTCTATGATGATATTGAGATCTAACACTCACTCTTAACCAAATCACTTAAAAGAGATTTTACAAAGACAAACTATCAAAAAATAGGCAGACACACAAGTTACAGTCCGTTAATGGTCTGCTTACAAAACATCTCCCTTCCCTCTTGGGATCCTAGCATCACTATTTAAAGGTTACAATATAGTTACAACCCAATTGCTTAAGCAATGCTTACACTAACCAACTTTGGCCAAATTAGCCAATGCAGTTGACATCCCTGACTATTAGGATATGTTGTCACCAATCAGATTCGCCCAAGGGATTAGAGTGGTTCCAACAAACCAATAGGCTGCTTGAACCAATCAGAAATGTCCCTACATTGCTAGAGCAGTTGTGCCTAAGAAATCACCGCATAGGTCAACCATTACTGTTTTAAATTGTCCCCACAATCAATAATTACTTTCGATATCAACCCACAAACTGTGATCTTTCTTTGTCAGTGTGTCAAGCCATGTCTAACCCATGACTTGGTCTTCTAAGCATACTCAATCAAGCCCTCAATCAAGCTCTCATGGCTATGCGTTGTCTTGTTTTGTTTGTGTCCAACATATCTATGATGGGCTACTTCTTTCTTCCACGCATGAGACTTCCAACAATGACTGGTCCCACCATTGCCTTACCTATGACAAGCATTCTTGGGGCCGCGCCTTGGTTTGGCATGCCAAGACCAGGGAACACAAGGGTTGCCACTTGCCAGTTGGGCACCACCCTAAGAAGCAACCCCTCATAATAGCATTATGAAAGAAAACTAAAGTAACAACACTTCAGGGTGCTTAAGTAGCCATAACCCCCTATTTATGAAAACTGCCACTGCCACTGCCACTGCCACACACACCACTTACCATTTCCAACACTTTTGCCACCAAGTCCTTTGGGAGGCATCAAACACATTTGAAGTGCTCAGCCAAACACCTCCCCACCATGACTTTGGCATGGGGTGCCATTCTAAGGATGTCAGTGGACCGAAGCGGGGGCGGGGGTGTAGTCTCCATCCCCGTACCCGCTTAAAAAAATTCCGTTCATCCCTAATCTACCCCTGTTAACGGGTATAATTTTCATTCTCATCTCCGTCCGCGGATAAATTTCTAATTCCCAACCCCCGTCCCCGCTTCCCCCGTACCCGCCCAAGCCAAGTTTAAGCCAACATATTCCAAAATTTTAAATAAATCCAACATTTTAATAATCCAACAACATTCTAAATAATCTAACATAATTTAACACAACATAATGTAGTATAACATACTCCATGGGTCCATATTCATTTTCAATCTGTCACATAAAAATATATCTATCAATTCGCTTCCCACTTTTAATCTAATGAATTGCGAATACAGGAAAAACTTTGACTTGGGTTTAATGAACTAGACAAAGAAAATCATTGAAACACTGGAAAATACCAAAATGACTACTTTTACCTACCTGAGATAAAATAATTGGACCACCTTGAGTTTCATACAACCTTTCTACTTTCATTATATTAACAATCTTCGTTGTGAATTTTTGCATTGCAGTCTTCAGTATAGCATGTTAAGACACACAAACATAATACAATATTGACCGATAATCAGGGACGGGACAGGGGTAAGGGTCAGTCCATCCCCGCCTTTCATTCCCGTATGGGTTTATAGGTATTTCTGTATACGTTCACCATCCAATACGTATGGTTCATCCCCGATTCAAACGAGACGGGTTTAGACGAATACCCATTTTTTTTCGATCTAGTGCGATCCCTAGCCCTGCATGCTTTTACCATGCTACCATATAAAGGGCTAACACTATGGCTCAAAAAGGAACAAAAATAGCACCACTTCTCACTTATTTTGAAATGGGAAATGTTATGAGAGCAAGCACACATGTAGGTGGGCAGGAAGTCCTGTAAATGTGTATTAATCGTGTATTGAATATTTAATTTTTTAGGAATAATTACAAGAAGACGAAAAAAATGAAAGCAAACAAAAAAAAATGCAAAATATTTAGGAAAAACAAGGAAAATTATATTTATTTTTATCAATATACTACTTATAAATATCAACATCTATGAAATTTTTTTGATTTTCTATTTATCCTTAATTATTATTATTATAAAGTCAATAACACCCACATATTACTTTCATCTCATTTTTATTTTCTATAACTATTTGACTTTTAAGTTATTTTGGACTTTTTTATTATAATATTTGACTTCTAAATTCTTTATTATTTTCATGCACTTTTTATTTCTTATACCTATTTGACTTCTAAGTTATTTTGGACTCTTCTATTAATAGTATTTGAATTATAAATTTTTTTACACTCATTTATTAGTAGTACACTTTTATAAATTTTTTATATATATGTAAATAAAAAATTGTCTAATAAGTCGGGGAGATATGTAAACAAATGACAGATTAGATACTCAAATAGGTGTAGAATAAATCAATAATTAAGTTTAACAATAGTTAAAATAAAATAAGAATTAATTATTCTAAACATAATTTATGATTCAATTTCGTTATATATATATAATTTGAATTTTTTATGAAAAAATTTATTTAAATTTAAATTTAAGTTCAAAAAAAAATATATATGTGTAGGAGTGTTGGAGAAACTCTTGGTACAAAACCAATAAGCTCATCCTAAATCTATTTTACAGCCAAAAACGTCAATGAAATACCAACTATAAGTCCAAGTCCATGCCACCTAACGACAATCCCAACGATCACCGTCTTCTTGAGAAAAGAAACAGAAAAACCCTTCCCACCACAATCATATTCCCCATTTCTTTTTGATCAACTGATTTTCTACCATGGCTTCCAATGGACAACCTGCTGTAAGTTCTCTCTCTCTCTCTCTCTATATATATATATACATTCATATGCATACACACACACACACATACACACACGCGCAAAGATAGAAATGAAAATTGATGATTTGGCAGAGCAATGAAGATTCAGAGACGAGTTTGGAGAAGATCAAAAGACAGTTAGCATCGGGTTCGGGCAGAAATTTACTGCAGGGCCCCCTTCTCAAGCGATCCGAGACGGTATGTTTAAGCCTTTCGTTCTTTTCTTTAATTGACTGTGAACTTAATACCAGTGTATTTTTTATTTTTAATTCATTGACTGGGCTGTATATAAGTAGGTTTTATTTATGTATTTGTTTTTGAGCTTGGAGAGACAAATTGAAAGGAAAATAGCATGTCCCTTCTAAGTTTTCAAACTGTTTATTCGCGTGATTGGTATTTTAAGAATAAATCTTGTACAAAAGTTCGATTATATGGTTTTCGTAATTTTTGTTATTTAAAGTTTCTTCTTCTGTAATTATGTGTGATGCAATTTTTTTTTATCCGTGTTTGATGCATATTATTCAACATGCTATGTTTAGGGTTCGGTGTGTAGTAAATATTGCTCATATTTGGGAATATAGGTAAAGTCTTTGATATTCATCCAGAATTTGCTCAAATCTAATGATTGTTTGGTGAAATGGGCCACAATTTCAATTTTACTGAGGGTGCTATGTCGTTTTAGACTTTTAGTAAAATAATAGAGTAATTTTGGTTTTAATTTTAAGGGCAAACTGCACTGTACCTCCTTGTGGTTTAACCCATTTGCACATCACCTCCTTAAGGTTCAAAAATGACACATAACCCCTTTATAGTTGTCGGACTAAAATATACCATTAGATTTTTCATTAATTTTAACGGTTCGTAGATGTGTCACGCATATTATGCAATTTGAAATAAAAAAAGCATGCCAAATAGACAAAATAACCCTCAAAACCGGTCTCTTTACTTGCCTCTCTCTTACTGTCTCTGCATGTCCTCCTTTCTCTCAAGCATCTCATCTTCATGGTAACAATTGTGATCACCAACCTCCTTGTGACAATAAGCAACAACCATGACCACCACCCACCTCCTCTTCTCCGTTCACAACATATCCACTCCTGTACTGTCGTCGTCAAGACTTCAATTTTCATTCACTGTACATTCCTCTTCCTCTGATTTTTAATTTGATTATGATTTCCTATCTTTATTTCAATTTTGATTTCCTATTTTGTTTTGATTTTTATTTTGTTTCCTTGTCAGTTTTTAATTTTGATTTCCAATTTGATTTTGTTATTATGTTTTGATTTTTGATTCATGTTTCGTGGGCCGCTGTGGTGGGTGATGGTGTAGTGGGTTGCCGGATTTACTGGTGATGGCGAGTTGTCGAAGTTATTTTGGGGCAATTTTGTTTTTTCAATTAAAAGATAAATTGATGGGCATTAAGATCATTTTATTGTAACACTTAACAAAGTTAAGTGTGTATTTTAGTTCGATAACCATAAAGGGATTATGTGCCATTTTCGAACCTCAAGGAGTTAATGTGCAAATGGGTTATACCACAAGGAGGTAAAATAAAATTAACCGTAATTTTAACACAATGGAATGAAATGGCATACATATAGACACACACACACTCACATGCATATACAAAGAGAGAGAGAGAGAGAGAGAGCAACGAAGTGGAAGGAATGGT